TTTTTTTAACCTCTGAACTTTTTATTGACCTCCTGCTCCCCACAGGGTCACCTGCTTCTGCTGGCCTAATGTCTCAGAACTTTGGTGTCATTAGTCTCAGACACCACTTTGCCATCCACTATCCGGCGAGTGGTGGTCTTTTGGATGGTTTGCATGGAGTTGCTGCTGTCAAGGGCATCACTAAGACTGAAGTCCTAGCCATCTTCCAGCAGGTGGGGGTAGGTGGCAATCTCAGCCTCCAGCTTGACCTTGATGTTCAGCAGAGCCTCGTACTCCTGGTCCTGGTGCTGTCCCTCTGCCAGGGTCTGTGCCAGCTCTGACTCCAGGGGCAGAAGGATCCCATTGAGTTGTTCCATCTGCAGGGAGTAGCGGGCCTCCACCTCCCTCAGGCTGTTCTCTAAGCTGATCTTCATATTTCTTCATGGAGTCCAGGTCGATCTCCAAGGACTGGACTGTACGTCTCAGCTCTGTGAGCGTCACCTCAGCGGTTTCAACCTCAGTGGATCGTGTGGTGACCACTGTGGTGCTCTCCTCAATCAGCTGAGTCCAGTACTTGTCCAGCTCCTCTCGGTTCTTCCGAGCCAGCTTGTCATATTGAGCCCGGGTTTCTGCCATGATCTTGGCGGGGTCCTGAGATTTGGGGGCATCTACCTCCACGGTCAACTCAGAGCTGGCAATCTGGGCTTGTAGGCCATTTACTTCCTCTTCATGGTTCTTCTTCAAGAAAAGCAGCTCCTCCTTGAGAGCCTCAATCTCTGTCTCCAGCTGCAGCCGAGTGACATTGGTGTCATCGATGACCTTGCAGAGCCCATGGATGTCGCTCTCCACAGACTGGCGCATGGCCAGCCCTGTCTCATACTTGACTCTAAAGTCATCAGCAGCAGCCGGGCGCGGCGGCTCACGCCTGTAATCCCAGCACTTTGGGAGGCCGAGGCGGGTGGATCACGAGGGCAAGAGATCGAGACCATCCTGTCAAAATGGTGGAAACCCATCTCTACTAAAAATACAAAACATTAGCTGGGCATGGTGGCGCGTGCCTGTAATCCCAGCTACTCAGGAGGCTGAGGCAGGAGAATTGACTAAACCCAGGAGGCGGAGGTTGCGGTGAGCCGAGATTGCGCCATTGCACTCCAGCCTGGGCAACGAGAGCAAAAACTCCGACTCAAAAAAAATAAAATAAAAAAGTCATCAGCAGCAAGACCGGCATTGTCAATCTGCAGAACGATGCGGGCATTGTCCACAATATTTGCGAAGATCTGAGCCCTCAGGTCCTCGATGGTCTTGAAGTAATGGCCCCAGTCTCTGACCTGGGGTCCCTTCTTCTCCAGGTGCTCCCGGATTTTGCTCTCCAGCTTCCGGTTCTCGGTCTCCAGGCTCCTGACTCTGTCCAGGTAGCAGGCAAGGCGGTCGTTCAGGCTTTGCATGGTCTCCTTCTCGTTCTGGATGCCTCCGATTCCTGCCAGACCCCCCGCCACCCCCGCAGCCAGGCCCCCGACCCCCATGCTGCTCCTGAAGCTGGCGGAGTGCGTCACGGAGATGCGGGAACCAGAGTCCCCGGCGCCTGCATAGACGCTGGCCGCGCTGCTGACCGGCCGGGCGCCGTAGCTGGACACGCGAACGGAGCCCACGGACCGGTAGCTGGTGGAGAAGGTGGAGCGAGTGGTGAAGCTCATGCTGCCCGGGGAGGAGAGCGAGAGGGCAGGACTCAGGCTTTGCCGACGGTGGCGGCCCGTGCGACCCGAGTTATATCCAGAGGCGCTTCTCTAGTTCTTTTAATTGCGATACTAGGGTGTTGATTTTAGTTCTTTCCTGCTTTCTCCTATGGGCATTTAGTGCTATAAATTTCCTCTAAACACTTCTTCAGTTGTGTCCCAGAGATTCTGGTATGTTGTGTCTTTGTTGTCACTGGTTTCAAAGGACTTATTTATTTCTGCCTTAATTTCGTTATTTATCCAGTAGTCATTCTGCTGTGGAAATTTAAGCTGAGAAAAACAGAAAGACCAAGAGACACAAGAAAATCTCTCTATTGGAGCTCCCGCTGAGGGTGGCCTTACTGCCCATAATAGTTGCCAGTCCCGCACAAAGGCAATTCCTTGCTTATATAAATTTTGTAGGCGGAAGATAAGGCAAGAGAATAAAACAGGTTTAAACAAAGACAGTTATTGACTTGTGGCAAGTTTGCAACCTTGAGAATACATACACTTTCTATATGGTATTTTGCTCCCATGATTGGCAGCTGGGGGAGAGAACGGGTTTTTACAGAAATATGCTTGTGAGCTTGTGGGTGCAAAGATATGCTTGGGTGCCTTATCTTGGAAGGAGGAACCTCTGCTGGGTCTGCTTTAGCTAGCTCCAGGCAGTTTAGGCTGGGAGGTGTGGTTTACTTGCTCCTCTGCTCTTTATAATTTTTTTGTGTGTTGCCTAGTCTTAAGCTTATTATTTATTTTAAATTGACGTTTATTCTAAATTTTATTTTTCCTCCTCAATTCAGGAGCAGGTTGTTCAGTTTCTATGTAGTTGTACAGTTTTGGTGAGTTTCTTAATCCTGAGTTCTAATTTGATTGCACTGTGGT